CTACACCATCCCCTCCTGATGGGTGATGTGTAGCACAAGGTGGCAGAGCTGGAAGTTTAGCTTGTGACTGGCGAGGAGTCTGGGAAGGCTACAGAAGGAGCATTGTGGTCTGGCCTGAGGTTACTGTGCAAGGTGAATAGAATGAAATGAGCAAGAATGGGAGAGGAGGATGCTTTATGCATTGATGATGGCCCATGCCAGTTTTAAAGCACAATGGGAGTTTACAAAGGTTTTAGTGTTTTTTATTTTGTTTTGTTTGAGATGGGGTCTCACTCTGTAATTTCTGTCTGGCTTTGAATTCATTATGTAGTCCAGGTTGGCCTTGAATTTGGGATGGTCCTCCTGTTTCAGCTTCCTGAATAAGTAATCATGGCAAGATCCTGACAAGTGGGATGACAGGCATGCACCACCACATCTGGATGGTAAAGGTTTTGTTTTCAGCATATAGTACTGGAAGGAGCCTTGTGACAAAGAGGGTGTCAAATGCTGGACTATGGACGAATCTGCCTTATGTGCTCAAAACAATTTGACTTTAGGGTTGGGGAGGAGCCAAAGGTTTCCCTCCATCTGCATTTTGGAATTGAAAACCTCATGCTACATGGTTTTAAGTGCAAATAAAAAAAGGCTAAGTGAGTAGTGGAAATACTCATCACTTGGCTTTAATAGTTGTCAAGATCTTGCCATGATTGCTTTACTCATTCTGTTTTTATTCCCTGATGTGGTTTTACCATTCCCTGTGTGTATGGTACTGGAGATCAAGTATGGGACTCTACCACTGAGTTACTTTTCCAGCCCTTTTTTATTTTTTTGAGACAGGATGTTATGAAGTTTCCTAGGCAAGCCTCAAACTTGTGATCCTCCTGCTTCTGCATTCTAAGTAGCTGGGATCAAAGATGTGCTCCATTGTGCCTAGCTTGCAGAAATATTTTATTTTATTTATATTTTTGGTGGTAACAGGGTTTGAATTCATGACCTCATGCTTGCCAGGCTGGTGCTTAAGCCACTGAGCTAAATACCTGGCCTCTGCCGAGATATTTTAGTGGGATCTTTTTTTTTTTTTTTTTAATTGGTACCAGGGATTGAACTCACGACTGCCTCTTTGCAAGGCAGGCACTTATGCCGCTGAGCTAAATCCCCAGTCCTTCTTCCCTACTTTAGTATGTATTTCAAAAAGCAAGGGCATTTTCTTAGTCATGCTGCTATTATTATACCTAAAAAAATTATTAAAATTCTTTAGCATAATGTAATATCTAGCTCATAATGCATTTTGCCCAATTGTCTTAAAATATAGTTACAGTTGTTTCATTTGAATTAAGTCAAAGCTCACTCCTTATATTTGTTCATGTTTGTCTTCATATTCCTTAATCTTAGGACAGTGTTCTTTTGCTCCCCAGACTGTTGGTTTGCTCAAACTGTCTTAAAGCTCTGTGCTAGTGTTTTGGGAGTTCATTCTGGAAGCATGTATAGGTTTTTGGAGAGAGAAGGGAGGAAAAATTAAAAACATTAAATAGGTGAAATTACAGTTTTTATCTCCTGTGTTGTCTGCATTATTTGAACATTTTAAATTGGATTAACTTTTATTTTTTTTCATTAATATTTGTTTGGTGCTAGAGACTGAATCTTGGGCATTGCAGATGCCAAGCACACACTTGTCCACTAAGCTACACTTGGAGCCCAGCTTATTTTTATAATTAAATACTTCTACTTCAGGAAAGGAAGAAAAAAAAGATATAAAACAAGGAAATCAATTAGGAACTATTTCCTCAGCTTAGAGAGGTAGTGAGAACCCAGCGGGGCAGTGGTAACAAGCATGAAGGTGCCAGACAGACTTGAGAGCTTAGAAGGCAGCAGCATGGAGCTGGGGACTGTTGTGAGGGTTGACTCAGACCAGCAAGTTTTTGGCTGGGATCTGTAAAGGGTGGAGGTTGGAAGAGAACTGAATGAAGTGGACCACAGTGCTACTGCATGTCTCTGATCCCAGCTACTCAGAAGGCTGAAGTGGGAGGATCACAAGTAGGACCCTGTCTCAAACCAGGAAAGGTTGGAAAGGTTGGAGGTATCGGTCAGTAGAGTGCTTGCCTACAATGCAAGAGAACCTGGGTTTAATTATTAGTACCAAAGAAAAAAAGGTAGAATGTGACTGTGAAGGGCTTTGTGTGCTGGTCAGTAAGAAGGTTTGGTTCATGACCTGTGAGGTAGGCAGGCCGCCGTATGTGGACTTGATTCTCAGAAGGAACCTGAAGGTGTGTGTGGAAGAGCACGTGCGTTGGTTGTGGAACTGTGTCCACAGGATTAATGGAGGCAGATGGTTCAGATGAGAGTGAGAAGCAGCAGCCAGACATTGCGTGAATGAAGAGAGAGTGGTGTGGGCAGTATTTTCTGGGGAGGAAAATGATTAAGATGGTGGGGGTTATGGCCAGTGAGACCTTGTTTGAAAGGACACATGTGCCAAGTGGAGAACTGAAGATAGTGGGATTGGATCGTGGATCTCTAAGGAGGTAGTGAAAAGGGAGTAGAATCCCAGAGGGATAGGACAAGAGGGGAGAACCACAGAAAGGGCTTTTTTTGGTTTGTTATTGGTGATTCTGGGGACTGATCCCAGGGCCTTGCACATGCTAGGAAAGTCCTTTTCCCCTGAGTTCCATCTTCACTTGGGTATTTTTAAAAATGTGGTAGAATACGCATGATAAACAATGGATTATTTTAGTTAGCCTATTTTTTGGTGTGCCAATCAGTGGCAGTGTTTTATGCCCTTGTGTGACCTTCACCAGAATATGTTTAGTTTTATGGTGGGAAGAGACACAGGGATTGACTCTGATGGTCTCCTGATAATCAGATACCTCTGTGTGACTCAGTCCTTGGCAGAAGCCACACTAGGCTTCTTTACTGTTGTCTGTCTGGTTACATTTCTCTTTCAAGAACCTGCAGTATTTTACTTTTAGGTGTAGATGTGTATAGTGGAAGTGTTTGTAGGCTTGTGAAGGAGAGAGACTGTAGAAGCCAGACTCTGTACTGTCTTCATTCTCCTTTCTTTTTTTTTTTTTTTTTTTTTGGTCTTTTTTCTTTTCATCGGTACCAGGGATCGAACTCACAACTGCCTGCTTGTAAGGCAGGCGCTTATGCCGCTGAGCTAAATCCCCAGCCCCATTCTCCTTTCTTGACATCAGCATGATCCTCCAGGCTTAGCCCGTGAGCACTCTGTAATTGTGAACTGTGTCTGGAAGGCCAGGTTTGTTTTATTAAGATACTAAGCTCCGGACTGGAATGTAGAATGGGAGACTAACAGGCATGGGGTCAGAAGTGGAACAACTTTGTTCCATCCGTGGTGAGATCTGATAGTTTGTCTTTATTTAAAAGCAGCTGGGCCCCTTAGAGCACCCTTGTGTGTGCATTCCTCTTCCTATCACTGTAGGATCCCCAAACTGTAACTGGGGCTATGTGCTGTGAGGGCCATTGTCTGTGGCAAGGGCCTTTTTTAAGGCAGTGTGGTCAATTGCAGTTTGGGTGAGAAAATCCTGGTGATACACTGCTAAAGCATTAGAGCTGTAGGGTTTTCATCTGTAGAGTGAGCTACTGCTGCTGCTGAAGATTTTGATAGTTTGAGCTACTTTGGAGAATTAAGTTTCTAAAACAAGGCTAGAGAAAAAAGCATCAGGGACATAGACCTTGACTCTGGGTACCAGATGTTGCAAGAAGGAACAGAGAATACTGGAGCTTTGAGCTCCAGCTTTCCCTCAGAGCTGGCCCTGAAATATCCTACACCTCCCTGATCCTATCTGCACAAGGAGCTATGGGGGCAGGCTCCTGAGCCCTGCTTACTGTGGTGTTGTCATAGTGACTCAGGCTCACATAGTTAGGTACTTGAACAAGGATTTGAACCAGCACATCCTGTTACATACTGAGGGAATTTAGAGTTTGGAGCACATTCTAGGGGGAAAGAAGATGTCATTGCAGAAGAAATATGGAATAGATCTAACCATCTGAGTCAGAGGCAGCAGGATGGTGGAGGTCAGAGCACCTGGCTTCACACTGGGACACCTGGTTTCTCTCTGGCTGGACTGCATGCTCCTTGAAGTTAGAGATTATCTCTCATCCATCAGTGTGCTTTGAGGGGACTATACTCAGTGCCCTGGGTCCATATACTGGGTAGATGGGAGGCAGTTTGAACAAGCAGATAATGTGTGAAGGCCTAGGGTCCTTTCCCCAAGCTGCAGTGTGCTGTTCTTGATCTCTTTTAATACCTGGATCTAGAAAATGTTCTGTGTACTCTCCCATCCTGCATTAGTTGTCTATTGCTGCTGTAACAAGTTACCACAAACTTAAGGCTTCAGACAACACATATTTATCACTTTACAATTCTTGGGTTCCTAAGTTCAGGACATTAACAGGAGCCATTGTCTCAGTTAACAAAAGAAAGCCAGCCAGCAAGTGTAAATATGTAAATGTGCTTTACTGGCTTGTGTAGGTTGGGTTATATGCTTCTAAATTCATTCACATGTTAACACCATCAAAGAAATTTGATAGAAACATGTCCAAGCTACTTGCAAAGGTGGGGCAGGTGGTTTGGGACTGGTTCAAGACTAGCCTAGACCAAACAGCTGGAGATGTAGCTCAGTGTAGAGCGTGTGTCTGGCATGTGTAGTATTATAATCCCAAATATTGAGTTTAGTCATCGTAAGTATTGTAATCTTCTTTCTAGTTTTACAGTCCAAAAGGTTGTATTTGTAATCCCATTGAGACGTCATTGGAATCCCAGCAAGTTAATTTTAATCTAACGCCACCAGTGCAACCCACGGCAAGAGTAAAGTCACCAGGACATGTTCCAAGTTAAGGGCAACCAAGGAGTCCTAGGTCCAGTCCTCATGAGGACATGGGGACAAAGGCCTTGATCCTAGACCTCTCCCAGAATTTATTATCTTGTGAAGAAGGGGGGTGGCTCAGGGGTGAGTGACAGTGAGCATGACAGGGATTAGGTGAGTAACTTGAGCTGGCCAGCCAGGTAGGAGAAAGGCATCTCTGTAAATTGCAGGGATTAAGATATGCAGAAGGATCAATTCACATAATCTAAGGTAGCAACTAAATTGTTGTGGAAGGCTATGGCTTTAGTTTTTGATATGTAAACTCTCATGCTCTGGGGAGTCATAGCCTCTTTACCTTGAGGCTCATACCCAGTTGACATTCCTGCAGCTGATTGGCTCTATCATCATATCTTTTACAGAGCACTATGCGAGGAAACAGGAGACTGACTGTTGGCTTTAGAGATTACGTACCAGTACCTGGCTAGCCTTATTTGCAATGTTTAGAGCCAGTTGAAGAGAGAAGAAAATACCATAGCCTGCTTTCTTCATATCAGTATAAAGAAATAAGTCTCGGGGGTTGGGGATTTAGCTCAATGGCCTAAGCACCTGCCTTGCAAGTAGGCGGTCATGAGTTCGATCCCCGGTACCGATCAAAAAATAAAAAAAAAAAAAGAAACAAGTCTCCCACTAACGAAAGTCGGAGTCACTGGGGTTGTTTCCCACATGTGGGGCCCTGAATTCAATCTCCAACATCACCAAAAACCCCCCAAAACAAAAACCATTGACAAATAAGGGTTTCTAGTGTGTTCTAGCCAAAGAACCCTTTAAATGAAGCCTTACTCATTTGAAGAATAGAAATGAAGAGCAAAGATCTTCTGGTTGGATGGGTGCGGTGCCCAGATCCTTTTCTGTTTATTCCAGGAGAAGCTCCTGGGGGACCTCCCTGATGCACATTTTTTGTTTGTTTTTTTGCCATCGTGGGGATCAAACCCAGCATCTCCTGTACATTAGGCAAGTGCTGTGCTGTTGAGCTACAAGCTGGCACTTTAGACAGTACATAATACTGCAAGTCTCACCGAGAGCTGAAAGTCTTCGTGGCCAGCAGTAGTAGCAGATTCCTAAAGCTTCACTTCATCTTGTTCCTACATTCTTGTTGCGTCACGTGGCTTCTGTGAACCCAGATCACATCCTGTCAGTGTATCAGTCATTTCTGAATGCCTGCCTTTTCCCAGCAGGCCTTTGTTTACCATAGGTGCTCAGTAGACATTGGTTGAATGGACTGGCAAGTGAGCACAGAAACCTGTTGGTAAAGTCTATTTTTAATTTTTCGGGTAAAGTATATATATGCCATGTACAGGCTCTGTTGAGTCTGTGAATGGCTTAGCGCAGTTTTTATTGTCTTGAAATCCCTAGTGGGGTCCTAAAGCCCTGGGGTATGGTTCAGTCACATAGGAGAGTCTTTGGGCCTAGGAACCTTCTCTGAAATAACACTGCAGTGCCATCCTTGTGTGTAGCACTCTGAGGCATTAATGTTTGTCACCACTGCAAAGTGGCCTCCCTCCAGGCCTTATTTCCTCACTTAATGAGTTTTACCAACGCTGTGTCTCCTAATGTCAGTATAACTGAGTTTTAAGTATGTTGACTAAAAAGAAATTCTTATGTAGTATCACTGAGCAATCCTATATGGCTTAAACCTAATTGTATTTGCTGTGGTGTTACATAAATGCAGTGTTAAGTCAGCCTACATTGCAGGTAGGCCAGAGTTTTAGATAATACTCTCCTGCTTGATATCTTGCCATGATTCACTGAGGAATAAACGAGATCCCTGAGAGCTGATCTCTGTGTAAGGAGAGAGAAACTGGTCTGTTTTTCTTGAAACAGTTGAGGTACCCCCACCCTTGTGGATGTCTGTATATTGCCCCTGGATGGCCCTGCTGCCTGCCACATTGTTTCAGTTGTTACTGTCTGGTCTAAGTAAGGGACAGCTGGGCTCTTTGGGGGCTCTCAAAGTGTCTCATGGCAACCAGCGAAGATCTGTGTCTTTCCTTTAGAGCTGGAACTGGTTTAGGTTTATTTTTGGTGTATTTGTTTAAGGCTGTTCCAGAACCCACACTTAGGTACAGGTTTTGCCTTAAAAATTTTAAGTTAGCCTGGTGTAGACTAGACTAGTTTGCATGGTACTGTCATATGGCTTTTGTGAAGACAGGTGTTTTTGTGTTTGGTTTTCTTTCTCTGTGCTTCTGTCTCTCCCTGTGTTTTTTTCTGTAACACTGACCTTCCCTGTATGCCAAGTTGAATTCACGTTGATGTCCTCTGCTTTGCCCAGGTTGCAGATGAATACATGTTTTCCCTGGAGGAGAATAAGAAGTCCAAGGGTCGCCGTCAGCCCTTAAGCAAGCTCCCGAGGCATCATCCGCTTGTGTTGCAGGAGTGCATCAGTGACGATGGTAAGTGGGGGTCTCCTCTCCATAAGGAGGAAAGCAGGCACCATCTGGGGCTTATAGGACATAACAAGGCCAAACAGATGGGTAAGAGCGGCCTTGTGGCGTGGCTGTTCTTCTAGATACTCCACATAGAGGAAGGATTTCCTTTTATATCTCATTTGCTCATCAGATTTCATTATTAGCTTAAGTATCATAGAAAATACCTGCTGCAGGATGACTGCATGCAGGTTCTTTCCTTTCTTGAGGCACAAGACTGACTTTTCAGGATAACAAGTTCTGTCAACCATGTCAAGACCATGTTGAATTTGTAGGTGCAAAACTAAGGTATGATAGTGGCGTCAGAGTCCTCACAGGGGAGTGATACAACTTACGGGCAAACTAAAGAAAGAAGAAATGCCAGTGTAGGCAGAGGGGCACCATGAGTCACCATGGTGAATAGAAACAGGAGTGTGTATCTGTGCAGATGAACTGTCCTCTGCTCGTTTGCTAGAATTCAAGGACACGATTAGGGACTGACTGAGGTAGGAGGAGTGGAAAAAGGTTGTGTCATGGGTCATGACCATGGTGCTTCGAGTGGAGACATTTTTCACAGGACTCGGGAGCCATTGAAGTATTTTAAGTAGAGAAGTAGAAAAGCAGATTGACATTTGAAAGATCACCCCTAGTGCTGGCTCCTTGGAGGATGCTTTGAAAAGACCATGGGCTTTCATAATGGTGTGTTTGAGATACGGTGATCTGAATAGGATGGCTTTGGTAGAAATAACAGAAGGGAATGTTGTATGGAGAAAGCTACCTGAATTTGTGCTGGGTGTTCTGTCTTTTTGAAATAAAGAAATTGAGCTAGGCATGATACACATGCCTATAATTCTAGCACTCAGGAGGCTGAGGCAGGAGTTTCTAAGGCCAGTCTGGAATCTTAGCACTCTGGGAGGCTGAAGCAGGTGGATTACAAGTTTAAGCCCAGCCTGGGCAACTGGTGAGCTCCTGTCTCAAAATTAAAACAACAACAAACATTATTTTTAAATAAGCAAAGGAATACATATCAGTGTGAAGGTCTGCAGTGCCAGATGTTGATACATGCACACACGCACACAAACGACTATGGATCTGTGAGAGTCATCAGTAAGAGCATGTTGATGGACTCCCTGGTTTGTAGTTGGAAAGTCCCCTGAGTTTGTACCCTAGTCTAGCTGGAGCTTCAGCTTCGTTGCATGAACCTTTCCCTTTAATGCTTTGATGTAACACAGATTGTAGAAAATTTGAAAAATCCCAAAAAGTTACCTGTACACGTATCCTCCATCCCTGGTTTTTCTAGACATATGTAAATTATGTCCATGTGTGTGTTTTTCCATGTATGTCTTTTTGACATAATGTAATTGAGCTAGCTGTTGTGGTGCATGCCTATATAACCATTCAGGAGGCAGGAGTTTAGACCAGTCTGAAGCACATAGCAAAACTGTCTTAAAAAAAGCAACAAAATAAATAAAAATAATAAAAGGATGTAATTCAGATTGTAATATAACCTCTGAATTTGTGACAAGAATGCTCAGATTTGGCTAGTTGAAGTGTTTGGAGACACTGTTTGCTGTGTCTGTATGTATTTGTCAATTACAGGAACACTGTCACTGTAAGTCTGTCTTACTGTCTACTTGGCTTTCAATACTTTCTTTATACATCCTTTGAACATTTGCTGTAGCTGGGTATGATGGTCCATGTCTGTAACCCCAGCAGTTGGGAGGATGAGACAAGAGGATTGCCATGAGTTTGAGGCCAGCCTGAATAAGAAAAAGCAAGTTAGTTGTAGTTGTCAGATTACTTCACTTTGATACACTAGTAGTAATCTCTTAAGGAGGACTGTCAAGTAAACAGGATGTTGTCATACCTAAAAAGCAGTAGCTCCAGTATATATATATATAGAGAGAGAAAGAGAGTAGGGAAATTTATTGGAGAAAAGCAGTGGGGAATAGGAATAGCTCCTGAGAGACAGGAGGAATCCAGAATAGTTGCTCTTTGTTTATTTTGTCTGTGAGACATTGGTTCAGGCTGGCCTTGGGCTCACCTTGTAGCCCAGGCTGGTCTCGAATTCGCAACAATTCTCCTGTCTCAGCCTCCCGAGTGCTGGGATTACAGGAGTGTACCACCACGCCTGGTTCTTTGGGATTTTTGAGACTGGCTGGACAGGCTGGCCTCAAATGTGTTCTTCTGCTTGTCCTGAGTGATGGGATTATAGCCAAGCCAGGCTCACACATTGTTTTTATTTTTTTCATCTTTTTGATACAGGGACTCGCTCTGTAATTTAAGCTGGCTTTGAACTCACTTTGTAGTCCTTCAACTTGGGTGATCTTAGTGCCTCAGCTTCCCAAGTGCTGGGATTACAGGTGTGTACCACCATACACATTGTATTTTTTTTTTTTTTTTATCGGTACCAGGGATCGAACTCATGACCGCCTGCTTGTAAGGCAGGCGCTTATGCTGCTGAGCTAAATCCCCAGCCCCTACACATTGTATTTTGAAGTTAGGTTTCTTTAGGCTTTTGAGTGCAGAGCTTGGTCCCCCCCAACAGAACAATATTTTCACTTGAGCCAGCGCTTGCAGTGAGCTGTACGTGGCTTAACTGCACGGCTTTGTGAAGTTCTGCATACAGAGTTATTGTTAGTGCGTGTTTTGCTTCACATCATCCAGTATTCACATGTGGAAATGATTCTGTCCACTTTTCACTATATGAGTAGAATGTATTGTCAGTGCGTTAAGTTTTTAGTTGATTATGAGCCTGTTTCTGTTTGTTCTGTCCTAGCTCAGTGACTCTTGTATGGCCCAAGGTAAAGAAACAAATCTCTGCTTGGGTTTTGGGCACCATGAACTGGATCTCAGTAATGGGTTTTTTGGGATTGATTTTACTGGTCTGTGTTGGCCTCCTTATGCTACAATGACTTTCACTGAAGCCACGCACAATGGCAGCTGCCACATCGCCTTAGATTAAACATGACTGTCTAGGCAGGGCAGAAAACGATTTGTCTGTGCTAAGCCCAAGTTGACAGAAATGAACAAATATGAGCACTTAGGACAAATCTGTCCATTTGAGTGTTCCTTGGACTGTTTGGCAAAATCCTCAAGGGCCAATTGGAAAGTGTTTTTGTCTAGGAAGAAATGAGATCATTGGAGTGGTTATTATGACAAGGGACTGTGCCACAAGCAGTGATTCTTGAGATACTTGTGGTAGGGTGGATATAGAGTTTCCTGTCCTGTGTTGCATGCTTTGGCCACATCTGACAAGGAAGTGGTTTCTAAATGCTACTCCCCCATACATAGGAGCACCTGGAGAAGCACTGTGACATTAGTTGCGTGTTTCTTTTTATTTTATTTATTTATTTTTTAAGACAAGGTCTCATTATGTAGTCTAGGCTGGCCTTGAACTTGCAGCATATTCCTGTCTCAGCCTCCTGAGACAACATTTTATTTTTTATTATTATTCCTTTATTTGTCTTTTTGAGACAGGGTCTCACTATGCAGTTCAGTCTGGCCTTGAGTTCACTTTGTAGCCCAGGCTGGGCTACAAACCCTGTAATGACCCTGCAACGATCCTTCTGCCTCAACTAAAAACTGAGTACTGTAGTTACAGATGTGTACCACCAAACCTGGCCTACATTTTATTTTGATAGTTACTTGTGCTTGTACCAAAGATCCCACACTCACTGTAGACTTTTACAGTTATTCTGGGTCTGTCTTACTCCTTTACCTTGAGTGCACTGGGACTTGGTAGGCTGTGCACCTTTTTTTACTTACATTTTGTTTTGTGAACCAGTGTGGTGATTTTCCTTTCAGCAGTTTGCTTAGTTCTTCCCCGGTCCCTGTGACATCTGCTAAGTGTGTCCCCTCTAAGCTAGTAAAGCCAAGGGCTGTGTCTGTCATAATGACCAGGAGTCTGTGAAGGAACAGAGAGTTAATGTTTTGGGCTTTATGACCCTTAGTGATTTCTGAGGCCATCACATTTTTGTTTTCCCCAACTGTTTAAAAATGTAAAAAAATTGTTGGTGCCCTGAGTGGGATAGATTTTGGTTCCTGCATGTTATGGCTGGAAACAAGGATTCACTGTGGCCATGTGACTCCGCCCTCCTCTGAGATATAGGCTGGAGGGACTGGGGTGCACTGCTTTAAAGAGGCAGGTGTCCTACAGGCTTTTCCAGAGGGAGCACTTGGCAGCTCCTGATGGAAGACCCTGGTTTAACAACTTTTAAGCTTTGCTAATTCGCTGTTATTTTCTTTCCCATTTCCCTTCAGTGCAACTGAAGAAAATCCATAAAAAGCAAAGGTTTAATATGCTGACCTTTTTTTTTTTTCTTTTTGCATTTTTATGTTTTGTTTTTGAAATAGGGTTTCACTACGCGTTCAGGCTGGCCTTAATTCACTTTGTAGCCCAGGCTAACTCAGCCTCCCAAGTGCTTTTACAGGTGTGTACTACCACGCCTAGCCATGCTAACATTTTTGATGGTTTCTGCCAAGAGAGTGCTTCATCTTGCTGCCTTTGGAGGAGGCAGAGGGTTGAATGTGGCAGCTGCGAGGGGGGCGGAGCAGGCGGAGTTCCCATGTAAGAGGAACAGTAGAGACCATGAGTCAGTCTCCACAGAGTGAGGAGTAAGGCAGGTCTCCCCACAACAACATTCCAGTGTTGAAGGAGTCTTATCAGACCGTCACTTCTACCTGTAGCCTTTATCGCTCCTAGGATCTGGTGTGGACCAGGATTCCTGGCTGAGTGCTCCTGCTCTCAAGGCAGAACCACATATGGTGTGCTTGGTATTGTGTTACATTCTTGTTTCTTCTCCTAGAGACCTCTGAGCAATTGACCCCCGAGGAGGAGGCTGAGGAGACAGAGGCCTGGGCCAAGCCCCTGAGCCAACTGTGGCAGAACCGACCCCCAAACTTTGAGGCTGAAAAGGAATTCAATGAGAGCTTGGCCCAGCAGCCCCCTCACTGTGCTGTCTGTATGATCTTCCAGACATATCATCAGGTAGGTTCACTTTATCCTGCCTTGACCCAGGACCAGCAGTCACTAGATTTGATTGTGGGTATGTAATTTGTCACTGGTACCCTTAGGTGAAGTACGTGTTTTCCTGGTGTTCTCTGCCTGATGGAAGTTGCTCAGTCTTCAGGCAGATGACCCTGAGTTAGAGATTTTCACTTGAAAATGGTCTGGAGACCATGTGGCTCAGGCTGTTTTGGGCACCAGTGCTAGTCACAATCTTGACTTTTCAGGGCTCTCTGTTTTTCCTAGCATCCTAGTCGGATGTTGTCCCTGCCAGGCAGTGTAGGATTGACCAGTCAGTGTAGAGGACCGTAGTTATTTAAGCACACTCTCACACACTCTGGGTGAAAAGCTAGATCTTGTCATGTTGGCTTCTTTATACCCGTTCCGTTGTGGATGTTGCTGGTGGCCAGAAATAACTAGGGTAAGGTGGAAGTAGAGGCCTGGATTGGAGTATTCTGGCGCAATTGAGAAGCAAAAATTATAAAATGAACAGGTTTATTGAGTTGAGGACGTGGAAAAGAGCACAGAACCCGTGGTGGTTGGGCTGTCTGCCTCGACTGGATACAGAGAAGCACAGAGTTATGAGAGCTATATGATTGCTGATCCGAAGTGGTGCACGGGATGGATAAAGATGACATGTGAGGAACCGATTGGAATTTTTTTTGTGTGCAAACAGCAAGGGGAGGTGCAATCAGGGCTGAAGAAGAAGCAGGAAGTGGTAAGCGTTCCCACTTTGGCCTTCCGTCACGGTGGACCACCGCCATAATTGTATAGTAATTTATACTAGGGTAAGAACCTTTCAGCGACAGGTAGAGAAGCACGGTTGCTGAACTCAGATGTGCCCTTCCCAATCTGGGACACTAAGGGCTTCTCTAGTAGATCAGTTAGGTGCCAGGTGACCAGCTCAGGCTCTGCTGGGACTTGGAAGTAAGCAAGCTATCACACTCTGGAGATTAAAGCAGCATGGCCGCTGTGAGTCTGGCAAGGCCCCAGTTTCATACGTGCTGAAGGATGGAACCTCAGACCAATACTTTTTTTGTTAGTAACTCACAAATTCTTTCTATTGACAGAAAAACAATACCAAAGAACTGTATATGCCGTTGTCAGTGAGCAAAGTGTCTGTTCTGGTTGTTACTTCCAACAGATTAAGTGGGGTGTAGTTTCATGAATGACTGGCACCCCAGTAGTGAAGTTAGTTAGCATGTGCTACCTATATAGAGTTTCACGAATGGCGTAGCCTTAGAGGTTAACATGTTTTTGGGCTCTCCCTCCTTGGAATAGGAATAATGTTGCCATCCAGTGGTAAAGCCAGCTGGTATTTGTAGTCAATATCATTTGCCGAGGGAGGTATGTGGATTTGATGTTCTTCTGGAGGGGCCCCTCAGCCAAAAACCACAGGTGGATCCCAGCCAGGTGACAGTGCTGCAGTCCTGGTGACTTGCTGACACAGAGTCTCAGAGGCAATCAGTGCTGGCCCATTAGCTGCACCTGTTCTGGGTGCTGTCCCTGAGTGAGGCCACCATGTGGTGCAGCACATAGGGGAGCCCACAGTGGCTGCTCCACTGGCAGCATCTCTGCATTTTATTACCATTTGGAGTAGGAAGACTGAAATCCCAGTTGTCTCTTACCTCGCTCCCTCTTCCCAGTTGTCCCCCAGGGGCCTTTGTTTGATGCTGCTGTGAGAAATTGAATTTGAGTCATTAGAGGTAACTTCAATTAGTAGCTCTGGGATAATGGTTATACACTTGGGAGTTGTAGCCATGGTCATATGAGTAAGAGACTCAGCTTTCTGCTGATGGAGAAGGTGGAAAGCTAAGAGCACAGGCGTGGGCTCACTGGTGTGCACTTTTTCTTCTTCCCTTAGGTCGAATTTGGAGGCCTTAGCCAGAACTGCGGAAATGCTTCGGAATTAGCCTCCCAAAAGCAGAGGACTAAGCCATTGATTCCAGAAATGTGTTTCACCTCAACTGGCTGCAGTACAGACATTAACCTGTCTACTCCTTATCTTGAGGAAGATGGTACCAGCATGCTAGTTTCCTGCAAGAAATGCAGTGTCCGTGTTCATGCTAGTGAGTGCTTCTTACCTTTTTCTTTATCTTATTTCAGGAACAGGGTCTGCTCACTGAATGTCCTTGCTGCCTGCTGACCTTTCCTTTCTTTAAGTGCACAGGCTGCTTATAAGTCCTTGGGGAGTTTGTTGTTGGTGATGAGTTTCTGCATGACTCGAAGCATCGGTAGTTTTACCAGTCAATTCTTCCATTGCACAGTTAGAGATAATCCACAGTAGATTAGACTCTGCTATACACTTGGTATTGCAGTTACTAATGAATCTGCAGCTCCTGTCTTTTTTTGTGATTGAGCCCTGGGGACTCTGATCTAGACTTCAGGGCTTTGGTAAGTTTTATTATCGTTGGGAGGAAAGACACGCATAGGCATATCCTGTTCTGACCTCTGGGTTTAATTTGCTCTTCTTGGTGTCTCTTTTAGGTTGCTACGGTGTACCCCCTGCAAAGGCTTCTGAAGACTGGATGTGTTCTCGGTGTTCAGCCAATGCCCTAGAGGAAGTAAGTATTGCCACACTCTTTCTGTGATCTCCATGAGACTTCGAATACGTTCAGGGTCAGGATCAGGCTGTTTTAGGCTAGACTTGATGTGCCCAGCAATCTACATAGGGCCCAGTACTAGTGATGTCAGTAATGTGAGAATAAGTCTAACATCACTGAAGAGTAGTTTCTGCCCATTTGCAGCAGGGCATGAATAGACCTGGAAGCTTTGTTCATTTCACTGAGCCAAGACCAAGGTGATTGTCTGTAACACCACTGAAGAGTTAACCATGGGGTTGGAGCCTCAGTATTGGGCTCAGATAGTTGATTTTGCAGATATCTCTTGATCGTCACCCCCAGAGCCTGGCAATAACCTGCCTAGGAAACAGTCAAGGCTCCATAAATCTTCCACTTTATACACAGAGCAGCTTTTGTAACTTGACTTACTGTTGTTAGGAACAATAACAACAAAGAGGATTATTTTAAGCAGATACTTGATGCACTTTGGCCCCAGTGGTCTCTGTATCCTATAGGGGCGTCTCTGCTTTATAAGGCTTATATTTTGAAGCCCTGCCTGTCATTATATTGCTTTCTTAGGTTGAGGTCAGAGCTGTCCACAAGAAATTAATGGAGATTAGATACGGTGTTATTGACTTGATGGTAACTGCTCCCCCGCCCCCCCCCTTTTTTTTTTTGGACAGGACTGTTGTTTATGCTCCTTACGAGGAGGGGCCCTGCAGAGAGCAAATGATGATAGGTGAGTTTTCAGACCCATTTCTTGGAATGCCCCTGCTCAACTCTGACGCAGAGTATAGCAACAGTGTGGGGCCATGACTCTTTTTCCTGAGCACCTGGTGAGGGTTTGGGAAGTGCATTGTGTGGAGTAGGGACAGCATTTTTGGAACTAATTTTAATAGTGGATTGCTGAGGGGAGCCAAGCAGTCCTGGATCTTTCCAGTTCTACTTTCCTTTAGTAACATCCTCTCTTGGGAGGAGCTGAGAATGGACTCAGAGAAGGGTATGGACACCTGAGATGGTGGTGCAAGGCCTTTGTGGGCTGGAGGTGGCCATGGGCATTGGGTAGTGAGGACTTTGCTACAGAGGAAACTCCCTAGCCCAGACCTAATGTTTAGAGATAATAGGAGTCCTGCAGCAAGAAAATGAGACACTTGAGAGATCAGCCATGCCACCTATAAATCTACAGAAGATTCTGGGCTTCTCAGCCATTGGGTTGCTCACTTTTATATAGTTGCATCTTTGTTTTTTGTGTCCTGTTTTATTTACTCCTGAGGCAGAAATGTAAGTTGCTGAGGTTTTTCCCCCATGAATACCGGGAAACTTTTTATAGGGTTGTGCATACAGGCAGCGGCATGCAGTGAATGAGTGTCCTGCCTCATGCTTGGCATGCTCTTTCTGATAGATGGCCCTTCTGCTGTCATTTACACTCATTTGAAGGCACTTGGCTGCCATTACTTGAAGTTACTGTGTTCCTCCCAGTTGCAAGATAGGGCTGGTCACAGTCTTCCTTCTTGGAGGTGAGATTTCTCTGTTGAAGCCTTTCACTGGTCCTTTTAATCCCTGTTCTAACCGCACAGGGCATGACAGCCCCATCAATACGGCTGACCGCTTCCATGTAGCATCAGTGTTATCTGTAGGCCTTCATGTGTCCTGATTTTTCTTTATTTTTTGCAGGTCTGGTGTTTGAACTCAGGGCCTTGTACATGTTAGATATATGCTTTAGCACTGTTCCATACCCCTCCCCTGATATTAAGAACTTTTACCAGCTTAGTTTTTATCTTGGTGCATGTCATCTCAAAATGCCCAGAACTTAATTTAATCCTCTGTGGATGTCTGTTGGGCAGACCTCTCATGGAAAGTGCGACTTGGGACAGATCTTAACGTCTGAATCCGCCTTAGATAAAGGGAGCAGAAAAGAGATTGTTTCAGCCTGGGAAAGAGTTCTGAGCAGAGACTAGGGGTTCCACAATACCGGCAAACTTGGTATGGTGAAGCTATTTTCCAGAAGTGCCTGGGTCCTCTGGGAAGAGAACCCTGTGACACTTGAGTTTATTCTCACCTCTGAAACCCACCACAGTCAGGTTCTGGTCCGACTTATTTTGCTACAGTTTTGAGGGAGCAGTGTAAGAAGTGTGATCCTACCTTAACCTGGGACAGTGCGGTGTGATATTTCTGGCTCTCACCTTCCTGGGCTTTGGGAACTTTGTGGAGGAAGTCATTGGTCATTGTGGGTGTGGGAGCCAGTGCTGTTGGAGGTCTATCCTAGAAAGGAAGACAGAGGTGACTGAGACCCTTTTGGCAGGTGGGTCCATGTTTCATGTGCTGTGGCAATTCTGGAAGCAAGATTTGTCAACATTGCAGAGAGAAGTCCAGTGGATGTGAGCAAAATCCCCTTGCCCCGCTTCAAACTGGTAAGTAAGAAGAGATGGGTTTGTGGATGCTTCCTAATTACCTTGTTTTTAGGTCTCCGAGTAGAGGGGGACAGTGTATATCTGCTTGGCCCTAGTTTTGTTCACTTTCTGGTTCTCACTCAAGTCAGATTACTTACTAAGGAGACCCATGATCAGTTGTGAGATTAGAATAGGCTGTATACCCTCATGTTTTAGGGGAGGGTTGGCTCTTTTTAACCTGGCTCAGTGCATTTGGGGAGTCGATCAATAAAAAAGGCTGGAATGTCTTTCCTGGAATCATTCATTGGTTTTCTGCTACTGTGTGTAGAAATGTGTCTTCTGTAAGAAGCGGAGGAAAAGAAACGCTGGCTGCTGTGTGCAGTGTTCCCATGGTCGGTGCCCAACTGCCTTCCACGTGAGCTGTGCCCAGGCTGCTGGAGTGATGATGCAGCCAGATGACTGGCCTTTTGTTGTCTTTATTACCTGCTTTCGGCATAGGATTCCCAGTTTGGAGGTAAGGGAGGGTGCCATTCTGGAATCCTCTTGACAAAGTGAAGACTCTCTTTCTCTGTGCTATCCATTTTTCATGCCAGCACATATTTCCTCAAGTAGTATGCTTGGTGGAGATCCTAATGAGTAAGTCATTAAGAGAAGACCTCAACTGTCTCTACTCCTGCTTTGGATTTCATAATGTAGTGGCACCAAACTGCTTCTGCGTGATTCCTTTGGATTATCTTTATTTGCTTGCTTGTCCACCAGGATAAACTCTTTGAGGGGAGGGCCCATATCTTTCTTTTGAGCAATACTAGAGATTGAACCTGGGGCCTTGCACTGAGCTGTTTCCCAGCCTATTTCTTATTTTAACACAGGCTCTTGCTAAGTTGCCCAGGCTGGGCTCAAAACTTGTGATGCTCTTGCCTCAGCCTCCCAGATTGCTGGGATTACAGGTGTGTACCACCATGCCTGGCTGAGGATCCGTATTTTATTACCCTGGATGTCCTTTTTATTTCATCTGGTGTCAGGGACATAGTAGAAGCTTTGTAAATATGAGAACTACTGGAGAGAACTGACAGTTTGCCATTAACTGATACTCACTAGGGGTTTATGTAGTTCTTTGATGAAGTATAGGGAGATACATGGAATGTGAGGTAGTAGAGTTAGGAAAGAGTCTGGGTCGAAGCTGGCATTTGAAGTGGTTCTTAATAAGAAATTGTAAGCAGAAAAGGCTTGGCTTCAGAAGCACAAGATCAAAGCTTAAAAAATGCACATACAAGACTGGTTCTAGAACCGTAGCAGGGGATCGGAACTGAGAGGAAAGCAGCACTAAATAATGAAGATTGTGCTGCACTTTACTACTCTTCTGTTGGATGACTTTCTTCGGTGTTAAGGTTTTAAAGCATAGGGCCAGGGTTTAGTTCAGCAGTGTTAGTGCCTAGCTGGCAAGCGTGACGTTGTGAGTTTAATCCCCGGTTCCCCCTGCGCATGCACGCGCGCGCGCGCACACACACACACACACAAACAAAAGATTTTAAAGTATGTGTCTGTGTGTGCACATGCATGTGGTATCAGGGATTGAGCCCAAGGCCTTCAGCCTGCTAGGCAATACTCGGCCACTGAGCTATATCCCTAGTCCAGTTTAAAATTTTCACATAGAATCTGGGATTGTTTAGGTTGGCCTTGAACTTAAAAATTCCTGCCTCAGTCCTCTGTGTAGTTAGGATTATACGTATGTGACACCATACCTGGCTTGCAATTTCTGAGACAGGGTTTCACTACTAAGTTTAGGCTGGCCTGGACCTCAGTTAATAGGCCAGTCTGGTTTGAAGTCATGGCAGTCGTATGCCTCAGCCTCACAAGTGTTGCAATAACATGGGTGTACCACCACATCCAGCTTGTGTTTAAAATTTTTAAAATTTCCTTTTTATGTATTTTCCTTTTGTATTTCCTTCTTTTGATGGTGGTGGTACTGGGGTATACTAGGGATTAAACCCAGGGCCTTTGTAATGAGCTACATCCCCAGCCCTTTTTATTTTGAGAGGAGGTACTGTTATGTTCTCCAGCTGGATTTGAACTTGAGATACTCCTGCATCAGCCTCCAAAGTGTTGGAATTACAGGTGTGTGCCTCCATGCCCAGTTGAACTATATTTTTAAATTGTGATTCTGGTAATGGCTCTAAGAGTGATTCAGAAATCAGAAATTGAGGCAGTGAAATAATTTAGCCTAAGAGAGAGTAAGTTTTGAAATCGGAATACGTAGGCAAACCTTTGAGGTATGCTGCTCTCTGAGTACTCCAAACTAGGAAGCCCTCGGGTTGCAGTCAGCAGCCACACAAGGTGGGAGGAGGCTCCACCATTGAGTAACAGGCTAATAGAAGAGACTTTCCCCATTGTGGTGAGCACGATAATCAAGGAAGAATGTGTTAGGAGCCAGTCTAGAGGAGAGAGTTTTGCACTCTGCTGTTGAGATCACAGAACAGACCTCAATAGTTGCCTGGATTTTCCTTTTTCATGAAACCATTTTATGATCATAAGAGGTGGTTGTCAGACATATGGGTAGTACCTTAGGGAAATGGAGAAATGTTCAGTGTGAAAACAAAGCTTTGGAGGAATAAAGGTCTAAGTTATGATCAAGGCCCACCTCTGGCAGATAAATTCATTTGGCAATGGAACAGGATTGTTTCATGATTATCAGTAGTTGATATACTTCGTTTGGTAGCTGTAGACTGCTGATGCTGAGAGGTAACTGGGGTATTGCTGAATATTTCTTTGACTGATTTATTGTTTTAAGTATTTTTTTAAGCACCTGCTATGTGACAAGCAGTTCTAGATGTTAGAAGTTGACTAGTGGAAAAGAGAAGAAAGTCCTTGCCCTCATAGAGTATATGTGAGGTGCATATGCTATAGCTGAAAGATACACACAGGAAGCTAGTAGTACACAGTGTATTAGACAGAACTGTGGTGGATAAAGAGGGTAGAGGAGTGGACAGTGAGTAATTTTGTCAGTGATGAATCTTGAGATGTGAGGAGACCAGGGAGCAAATAACTGGGGAAGGCATCTCAGGTAGAATAGCAGTACAAAGGCCCTGGGCTGGGATCTACGTAGCGTGTATATTGAGAACTGTGGCTGGAGTAGAGTACTTGGGCAGGTTATTGGAAGTGTTTGGCCGTGAGCCTAATACATAGTTTCTGATACCATTGCATCAAGGAGTTCATAAGGAGTAATCTGAATTGAGGGCACCATAGATAGCAGGGCCCTTATAATGGGAAGTAGGTTGTTGCAGATAGCTGAGAACATTCATCAAACTTCAGTCTCTGTGTCCTGTCCCTGAGGGTAGGGCTAGTGCTCAGCTTAGAGTGTAGCAATGCTTGGGGCCAAGGCCTCTGGTCCCATGAGTCTACTCTGAGACTCTGATAGGTAAGAGTAAGCCATGTACATTGTGGGTACGATTTGGTTGGGTCCAGGGAAGTCACAGGGTATATTTATGCAGAAGGACCAGTTCCGGGTTAGAAGCTCAGGGGAAGTGAAATTTATGTAGGCGAATATGACACTGGCTGGGATGTGGGTATGTGGAAAGAAATGATTCAGCTCCTGTTTCTTCTCTCCTTGTTAGCTTTTTATTCTGACGCTTATCTTCTTTGGATAAAGGGGAATGCATTGATTTTGGTTCTTGTTTGCCAGACCCATGAGTACAATGTGTAAATAACCCAAGCCTCTGTTTCTTTCAGCGTGCCAAAGGGGCCTTGCAGAGTATTACTGCTGGCCAGAAGGTCATTAGCAAACATAAGAATGGGCGCTTCTACCAGTGTGAAGTGGTCAGGCTCACCACTGAGACCTTCTATGAAGTCAATTTTGATGATGGCTCCTTCAGTGACAATCTGTATCCTGAGGACATAGTGGTAATGTCTGCAAGCAGCTTCTCTGGCAGTTTGGGACTTAGGAGTTTCTAGGCCTAGTTGGTAGACTGCCTGTGGGTATGCTTGCCTTTATTAATAGGTCCTGTGAGTTCTTTAATTTTCCCTAAAAGACATTTATACTGGTTTTTCCTTGCAAGGAAAACTGTGCTAATGGGTTACTGTGCTCCCCCTAAAATTTCATGGGAATCAGTATTTTCTCCAGTTCTCTAAACTACACATGTTTTGGCCAGACTATCCTGAAGGCACCTAATAGAGTGGAAAAAGCCCATTCTTTAGTATCAAATTGTGCACGTTTTGCTGTTCCAAAAGATGTATGACTTTTACAGAACTATCCAGCTATTTTTTCTACCATGCCATCTTAGCAGATGTAGAATCTGCTCTTTGCTATTTACAGTTGAGGGCTTTGGGGCTAAGGAAAAACTGGTGGGAACCTCGCTAGGCCATCTTCTTCCAGGCCTGTCATTTCATTCAACCATCACTGATTGTGCACCACACCTTAAGCTGGGATATAGTTGAACAGTCATTTTAAAGTATCCTTTTCTAGGAGTAAAGGTTCTAATGTATTGTGCCATGACCCATCGTAGGTAACTACTTTTTGTAACTTACCTGTGTTTTAAAAACACCGTTCTTAAATTCTGAGTAAATTTCTAGCATTTCTTTATGAAGAGTTGTAGAAAACAGGTGAGTGGATGTGAAGATCACTGATTTTGGCACTTAGCTCCTATGCTTACTGAGTTTGCTAAATTCATTATGCCTGTTCATTTTGTCACCTAGAATCAAGATAAGAGATACAGGGTAGACTCTGATTTGCAAATAACCTTTCAGCCCAGAGTAAGTAGTCTATAGGAATGTCAAAGCGGAAGCATAATCTATAACTTATTTTTCCCTGAGTAGATGTCAGTTACCATTGTGCTGAAGTGGACCTTTCATTGTCCTTTTTTCTTTCTTCAGAGCCAGGACTGTCTCCAGTTGGGTCCTCCTGCTGAAGGAGAAGTGGTCCAAGTGAGATGAACAGATGGCCAAGTCTATGGAGCTAAATTTGTGGCTTCTCACCCCATCCAAATGTACCAGGTAGTCAAAGGTTCCTGTTAGGAGTGCGTGATAGTCAATTCATTCAGTGTTGTCTCTTGGGTCAGGTGATTCTCTGCTTTTCAAAGAACTACTATAGGTTGGTAATAAACTTTGTAGAGCTAGCTCTGTCCTACATCTAGTTTCCTAGTGTGCGGAAGTGGCAGTCCTTATTACTTCAGTGCTGTAGTGATTTCCTTTGGATGAAGAAAACTGCTATTTTCATGGGGTAGACAAGGGAAACTCCAAGGTACCCTAGCCCAAAGGTCTTTGTGTCACTGGCAGGTGGAGTTTGAGGATGGCTCACAGCTTGTGGTTAAGAGAGATGATGTGTATACACTGGATGAAGAGCTTCCCAAAAGAGTCAAGTCTAGACTGGTGAGTGTGTTTTGTGTGCCATTGGATCCCAGGAGCAGGAGGGAACAGAGCTGGGGCATGTCACTTTTTCTCCCTTGGGAGAGTTGGCTATAAAGTTATTTGGTTTCCCTGTTCTTCTGCAGTCAGTGGCCTCAGACATGCGCTTCAATGAGATTTTCACGGAAAAAGAGGTGAAGCAAGAAAAGAAACGGCAGCGGGTCATCAACTCTAGATACCGGGAAGATTATATAGAGCCTGCACTGTACCGGGCCATCATGGAGTAGGTGCTTCCAGCGTCCAGCAGGTTCCCAGCCATGGAGGCGAGAGCGCTCTGGTGTTCCACAGCACAGCAGACACACAGAACTCTGAAGTCTCTAAAAGTGAAGTTGTAAAAAGAAAAGGAATGAAATCTTCGACCCCATCACCTTCTTAATCCGCCCTCTTCACATTCTGCCCTAGTGAAAGGACAAGCCATTTTGGGACATGTGGCAGCAGCTGCTGATCTCTCAGCTGAGAGGCTGAGCACTGGAATGCTGTGGCTGTACTGACCCAGGTTCCAAAAGGAGTCAACTGTGCCAGTTGGGCAGATTGCCCTGCTCCTGGCCTAGGACTTCGTTTCCTACCAATTAATCACCACCCTCTAGGCAGAGGTGCTGGTACTTTCCCGATTCCTTTTGTATTTATATGTGTGTGTGTGCTCGAGTGTGTGCGTGTGTGTGGGTGTGTGTGTGTGGTCTGGATCAGCTTCTGCAAGCCCCTGGCCTTTACTTTCTTCCTTGCCTATGCAGGGCAAACAAAATGTGAAATTCTGTTCTCGGCTAAGCTGAGTAAAGGCCCCTGGGAGTTGGCTGGAGGTGGATGTGACATCTGTCTAGGCCTGGAATGGCCCCAAGAGAATGCTGGCAGAGCTGCAGTATTGAGATGCTAAGGAGTTGATGCCATCTCTTTGTCCTCCTTTGAAGGAGAACATAGGGGTAACATGGTCATGTTACCCACAACATTCTAGGGGACAGAGCTTCAGTGGCACAGTATTAGAGGGTGTGGGTGGGGAATACCCTCAAGGGAGGACTTTAATGATGGAAGCAGGCAGAGCCTGGTGGGTGAATCTGTTAAAAGAAAATTGCAATCATGCAAGGGCAGGGAGGGTTAGGATGAACTGGGGCCACTGGAGGCCAAGGGCAATTATAGGTATGCCCTTGGTCTGGGGGGTGGGTGGGAGGGGCTTGATTTCAGGGTGGGGGGGTGGGATAAGGGAGCAATACTGAGGGGGTTAAACAGGTTTTTGCTCCTCACAAATTTGTTTGCCTGGGCCCGGGATTGGAGGGGGGTCACAATTATTCCCTATGTATACAAGAAACAAATTTATAATTCCCCTTTTTTTGTTACGTATGAACGCTATAAACCAAATTATTTTGAAAACTGGTGCATCACCTTGTCCTTAGCAATAAAGTATGTTGAGCAGACGATTGGTTGTGTCTGCCCCAAGGAGCCCACAGGGCCCAGGGTCAGGCAGGGGTGTATCCAGAGTCATAGGCTCTGGAGAGGGCTACTATGTATCTTAAGAATCAGTCAGGCCTAGAAAGAGACAAAGTATGGTGAGTTATGAAAGAAGGGCCCTTCTGGCTAGGATCACCTTTTTGCTTCCCCGGTTTTATAGATGGCCAAGAGAAGGTAATGGGAAGGACCAAACCACTCTGAGTCATCTCAACATTGAACTCTCACTTCCATTCTATCTGATTTATCTTTACTGAGCTATGTCTATGCGAGCTTCCACACACATTATGGAACTAATTGAAAGGAAAGAAAGTGTTAGTGCTTGAAGACCAAGCAACTTATCCCCCAGTGATGTCCTAAAGCTGCTTGCTGAGCTACCTGTGGTTCCTTAAGAAGCCTGCCTATTGGGTCTCTGAGGGCTGAGTAGTTGAGTGTAGGGGTGCTTTGGGATAGAGAGGAGCAGTGGCTGCAGGATTAGAAGAGGCTTGGGTCAGCTCACTCAGTACTTTGTGTTCCTGGGCTTTGGGAGGTGGTTGCCACTTGGTACAAACTGAGGGGAATGGAGGAGCAAAAGATTTCAGATATGCTGTTTTTAACACTACTTGGGCCAAGAAAAGAAAGTTGACACTTATGTGGGATTTGGGGGCTTCTGGTGAGGTCGGGCAAGGCCAGGACTTACTGGTTTGATGACTGGGTCCCAGGCCTCTCCACTGGCCTTATTATAGCCTACAGCCTTGCTTTAGAACCTACAGGGCAGGCTGCCTGATCGAATCCCAACTGAGACATTTTATTTTTTGACGAGGTATCGCTGTGTAATTAAGAGTGGTCTTGCCTTGAACTGCTGTACTCCTGCCTTAGCCTCCGGAGCGCTGGGATTACAGGTTTGTGCCGCTGTGACTCTCCCGCTGTGCGGCAGAGACTTTTAAGCCAGCCATTTTTCTAAAAAGGTTGCAATTTTAACTTGTGGCAGTGTAATGTCCTTTAGGAGACCCAAGCTCAAAGAGGTGAGTGATAGGGCTTTCCAACTCACAAAACGCTGTCGGGACTGGGTACAGGACCTGAACATCCTACAAGCCTGCTGCTCTATTACTGAGTCACACGGTCATCCTTGTCCTGTGGTTCCCTCTCGCTGCCAGTACAGTCAGGCCCAAACAAAGGCCGCATCTTAGGCGAGTTCCCCCCAAAATATGTTTGCCAAGGTTAACAGCCTTCCTCTAATAGGGTGAGGTCTTAGGGTTGGTATCCAAAAGTGGCAGAAATCCATCCTTAAATTGTATCAGTGTATCACCAGGACTCAGTTGCTGGAATGAGGGAAGCAGAGTAGGAGAGAGAAGAGGACTCTGGAATTGCAAAATTAAGCAGTTGAGCAGGGTTAACTAGTGCACCCACCGAGTATCGAGGTTCTAAGTTGGTGACAGACGCCGGCGGCCTAGATGCCCATACCCTCGTACCCCGCGGGACTGCGCAGACACGTTAAAAGTCCGGAAATCCGGAGCCCTGGGCCTCAGCGGCCCGGTTGGCTCTCCCGCCTTGAGGACTAGGAGGGGCGTATACCGGCGGGGAATCACCGTGGCCAATCTACATTTCTGTGCCCCAAGTTTCGACAAGGAGCTCGCGAAGACGCTGGGTCCTCGGGAAGGCCTGAGCGCCCTTCCTGCTTTGCAATCGGCGGGAAGCTTCCTGGGCCGAGGGGACGGGAGCTGGGTGAAGGAGCAGCACTTGTACCTCTTGCGGCACATCCTCGGCGCGCCCGGAGGAGGCCAGGCGGAGAGCTCCGGGCTCCAGCGCCTTTTTGGGCCGTCCGCCTCCACGCCCGCCCTAACTGCGGCGCAGCCCACATTGGTTACCCCAGCGGCCCGTCCGGCCCCCGCACGCCTATTGGCGGCCGAGGCCCGACCCCCGACGAGGGCTCCGAGGCGGAGAGCCGGATTGGTGGTCCCATCGTCCCGGGTCGCAGTCGCACGCTCCGCCCGCCGCTGCGTCCCCACTATGGCGGCGCCCATACAGTCCAGCGCTTCGTGGGCGCCAGCCGGGGTTCCCCGCGGCTGTGGCCGCTGCCTGCGCCTTCCTCCCTCGCTTGGGGCTGGGCGCTGCCTCTCCCCGGCCTGCCTCTCGGCTGCGGTAAGCACTTGTCCCGTGCGCTTATGGGCGCGACTGGGATCGCGGATGAGGGCTTGTCGCCTCGCCCCTCCCCCAGGCCGGGTCTGGGGATGGACCGATGCCGAGCCCGCGCTCCTGTGCCGAGAGCGACCTGGCGGCGTGGCCCAGGGGTCGGCCTGGGTTTTGCACGACCTCGTGGTGTGGGGCCGCTAGGCCTAGGAGCAAGGCCGGCCAGGCGGGGGCCAAGCAGTCCGAGCTTGCCCGCTTGCGGGATCTCGCGGCGCCGCGACCCTTGGCGCAGAGGAAGGACGCAGTCCTTCGGGCATTGCTGTGGGAAGACGGACAAGTTTAGGGAGTCAGCCTTGCGAGCTTAGCGGCTGTCATTGCTTACTGCTCTGTCAGGAGCTAGGTCTTCAGAGGCGACAGGGGGCAGTTTGATTGCCAAGTACTCTTCCTTTCTATCTGGAGCTTTCTTCTCATTGTCTTCTCCTCGGCGATCTGGTTTGCAAGAGTAAACATGTTCGGGAAGAGATTGCGTTTGGTTAGGAGACTGCGTGTTTAGTATGTTAAATTCCTTTTTTACACCGGTACCCGTTTTTCTCATTCTGTTTTTTGTTTTTGTCACATAGGAGGGAGGGATCAATGAAGTCAGCTGTTGTCTTAGGAAATAAAGAATATTTACAGATTGTTCTGTGACACGACACTTCTTTGGGTGTGTGTGTGTGTGTGTGTGTGTGTGTGTGTGAGATGGGATCAAAACCAGGACCTCAAACATAACGTGGCAAGCACTCTCCCACTGAGATACACGCTCAGCCCAATTTCAGTATTTTGAGTTCTATAATGTTGGACATGAAGGATAAAAGAAACACTAAGTTACTGAAAGTAAGTCTTCATGACAATTTAGATTGTTTCTAAGTCAGAATCACTTTGGAATGATGATCACTGAACTGTTTGATATGTCTTTAAGTCAGCAGTGAGGGAATTGAAAGGAAGCTGTTATAGAAGTTGGTGACCCAATGGTAGCTTCAAATAATCTCTTGAAGTACTAATTGAAGTGGGTTCGTTAGTGGTGTAGGAATCTAAGCAGCCAAATTGATAAATTTGGAATTGTATTAGCTGTGCTCAGCTGGAGCCCTGTTTTAGAGTCCAAACGAATGGCACCGAACTAAAAGGTTACAGGGCTTTTGAAACAAAAAAAATCCTGTTGGAAACAATTTAGCTAGAATATTACATTAATTTTTAATTGACACCTGTGTCCTGCTTCTTTGTTGAGCAGGTTAATTTTTCTCTTGTGAGTGCAGCTCATTCTGCTTTTCTCATGGGACTTGTACCCTGAATAATTTTTCCATTCTTCTCTGTCAAATACAGGGCACAAGATGGCGTTAGTTATGTCAACCCACAACACTAATAACTCAAGTATAGTTTGAAGTAAAGTGGTGAATTTCTTAAGACTTAATGTCTAACTGTGGCTTAACAGAACAGTGGTTATGGAACAAGACTCACGTGAGTCTAGATTGCCTTGCTTAACCAAGTGTCTATTTTTATTTGTTTTGAGAGAGGGTCTCACTATGTAGTTCAGGCTGGCATTGAACTCACTATGTGACCCAGACTGGCCTTGAACTCATAGCAGTCCTCCTGCCTCAACCTCCTGAGTGCTGGGATAGCAGATGTGTGGCACCATGCCTAGCTCCCTCAAGTGTCTGTTGAGTGCATATTTTGTGCAAAGTGTTGTGGAAGGGAACTGAAAGACATTTAAGATATGAAATTTATTCTGCTGGGCCTGTAATAGAGTAGAGAGCATAAAGGACACATATGAAAATGTGATAATGGTAATGATATGGTCTCTAGAATTCTAGTACAGTAAGAACTATAGAAATCAAGAAAAAGGGAAACTTATCCATTTGAGGAAGGCTTCACAGGGGAGCTAAAGCTTGAGTTGGGGCCCAAGAGTGTGTCTGGCCTGTCTGGAAGAAGATAAATGAGCTGATAGAAAGTGTGGATGGTAAAGGTAGCAGGGGGAACTTGAAATGTACCTGGCTGGTTCCAGGGATTCTTTCTGAAGAAAGTGGGAGATGAGGTCGTACAGAAAGTGAGTGAGTGGATAGAATCAAGCCGAGGTACCTTTGCCCCAGGAGAGAACATAGTTAACGTTAACTGATACTCTTCAAGTGAAGACAGAACTAAGCATCAGGAAAGAGACTCAACAATACTTTGCCACTGTCATTTTCTGATTAGCCTCAGACATTTGGGATAATAGTTCTCAGCCATCACAGACTGGCACCTTGGGTTCCTTTTTACTTTGCTTTTTAATTCCTGTGTGCAGTTGCTTGCCAGGACGTGTTGATCCTGCATCCACTTTTCTCTCCATTCCTGATGTCATCACACTGCTTTGGGCCATTGATAAAACTTCCGGGAGTTAACCCAGAACACTCCTCTCTTGCAGGATTGTTTTCTTTCCTCCCACTTGCCAGGTGTGCTGCCATCTCTTCCAGGTGCGTCACTTCTGCCAAGACTTTTAGTGGTTCTGGGTATGTTGAACTAGCCATAGAACAGCTGGCATGAAAGTATGGGCAAATGTTTTTATTGGCCACACCTTCAGATTTTACTGTTATTTCCTGATTATTTGAATTGCTTGCTCTGTGTGCTTTACTGTTTGTACTTATCTTGGCTTTTTCTACCTTAAGTGACCCTCTTGAATTATTCTTACATATGTTTAGGGCTGTTTGTAGGAAACTTCTGTGAATTGTTTCTGTGCTTTTCTTCCCACGTAATTAGTGCTCTCCTTAAAATGACTATAACTCTGTAGTCTTTTTGTCTTAACTTTCAGTCACGACATAGGACTGAAGCTTTCTCCAGATGTGAATCATGATCTTTGTCTCTAGCAAAGTTTTTTTACTTAGTAGATACTTAGCAAATATATTGAGAAAAGCTTTGAACTAGATGGATACAAAAAAATGCTATGCGGAAAGAAAATGCTGCCATAAAGTATGTAAATAATGTTATTTATGAGAGAATCCCTTACTGAGAGACAGTGTATTGGTCTGGATAGCTTGGGTTAAACAATACTAGCAAAAGTTTTAAAGATTTCAGTGATTTAACAGAACTGAAATTGATTTCTTCTTCATGCTACTAGGGGACTCTGCTTCCATAGGGGTCACTCAGGAACCAAGACAATTGGTGGTCAAGTGAATGCTGGCTTTTTAAAAGATTCTGTCTCAGTGTGGCAGATTCTGTCTCTTTCATTTATATTTCATTGATCAAAGCATGTCACATGGCCAGACCTAACTTTATTTTATTTTATTTTATTTTTTTTTTTGGCTTTTTCCTTTTTTACCGGTACCAGGGATCGAACTCATGACTGGCTGCTTGCAAGGCAGGCGCTTATGCCGCTGAGCTAAATCCCCAGCCCCTAGACCTAACTTTAAAGCAGGTTGAGGAATTGTACTCTTAGCATATGCCTAGCAACAAAGGACCAAAACGATTTGATGAACAGCAATAAAGACTACATCTTCTATGGGTGTCATAGACTGTCAAAGATTAGAGATGGCCCTCCTTTAAAAAAAAAAAAAAAAGATTAGAGAGCAGGAATAAGAAGTACTACTATCAGATACAAACATTGATAATAGCAAGAATTAATAGCTCTAGGCATAGTGGAAAGGTAGATTCAGAGTTAAAAGTCTATAACAAGAATTTATAAATGCCAAGGCCAATTATACGAGGATAATATGTTCCATATATAACATAGTTATTCCTGAAGGCATTACTTTTTCTGGCCTTCGTAATCAACAAAGCATGACCTTGTGACATCCAAAAATTTAAAAAGTTGAATTACATTCAAGATACTGGATTTAAGAAATCTGTAGTTATTTGAAATGCATTTTCATATGATTGGATAAAATAAAGAACTTACAGTTGAATTGAGACTAGCAAAGTTGTTATTTGGGGAGGTTGCACTTTTGACAAAGAATAAGCAGAGAAGGTTGGATGGAGCCCTGGTTCAGGAAACAGAAGATCTGGCTTCAGAGCTTGTCTGTACTACTAACTGACATTGAAAGTGTGTATATGAGAGCCAGACATGCCTGCAATCCCAGCACTCGGGAGGCTGAGACAGGAGGATTGTCGCGAGTTTGAGACCAGCCTGGGCTACAAAGTGAGCTCAAGGCCAGCCTGAACTGCACAGTGAGACCCTGTTTCAAAAAGACAAAGAAAGAAAGAAAGAAAGAGAGAGAAAGAAAGAGGAAGGAAGGAAGAGAGAAAGAAAGAAAGAAAGAAAAGAAAGA